CATTTTCATACTCCAGGACCACAGAGGTGAATTCAGCTTTTGTTACCATGGCAACAAACAGCAATGGCTCTGATGGCATCAAAACAGGATCGGATGGGAGATCTGCCACAAAAACATACAGGTGTGAGGAGTGCAGCAAGCAGTTCAGTCATCTGGGTAATCTCAAGGCACACAGTGCGGACTCACACTGGGGAGAAATCCTACAAGTGTGAGGAGTGCAGCAGGCAGTTCAGTGATCTGCATAATCTAGAAGACTCACATGCGAACTCACACAGGGGAGAAACCCTACAAGTGTGAGGAGTGCTGCAGGCAGTTCAGTCATCTGGGTAATCTCAAGACACACATGCGGACTCACACAGGGGGAGACACCCTACAGGTGTGAGGAGTGCAGCAGGCAGTTCAGTCGGTCGGGTAGTCTGAAGGACCACATGCGGACTCACACAGGTGAGAAACCCTACAGGTGTGAGGAGTGTGGCAGGCAGTTCAGTGAGCTGGGTGGTCTGAAAAAACATATTCGCACACACACACAGGAGAAGCCCTACAAGTGTGAGGAGTGCAGCAGGCAGTTCACTCAGCTGGGTAGTCTGAAGACTCACATGCGGACCCACGCAGGGGAGAAACCCTACAGGTGTGAGGAGTGCAGCAAGCAGTTCAGTCAGCTGGGTCATCTAAAGAAACACATACGGACTCACACAGGAGAGAAACCCTACAGTGTGAGCAATGCAGCAGGCAGTTCAGTCAGCTGGCTCATCTGAAGAACACATGCGGACTCATACAGGTGAGAAACCCTACAGATGTGAGGAATGCAGTAGGCAGTTCTGTCAGCTGGCTCATCTTAAGACACACATGCAAAGTCACACAGGTGAGAAACCCTACAAGTGTGAGGAGTGCAGCAGGCAGTTCAGTCAGCTGGGTGATCTGAAGAAACACATGCGGACTCATACTGGTGAGAAACCCTACAGGTGTGAGGAGTGCAGCAGGCAGTTCAGGCTGCTGGATAGTCTGAAGAAACACATGCGGACTCACACAGGGGAGAAACCCTACAGGTGTGAGGAGTGCAGCAGGCAGTTCAGTCAGTCGGGTCATCTGAAGAGACACATGCGGACACACCTGTGAGAAACCCTACAGGTGTGACTGAGGCAGTACAAAACCTCACAGTTTTGAGGAGTTGTGAGCCTGGTCCTATGAAATATCCAGTTTTCAAAGTCTGACAGGGAAGAAACTCCAACACTGTGAAGAGTGCAGCATACTAAGTCACCTGGGTTATACAATTGTAAGCTACACATGCAAACTCTAATAATGACACAAAGAAGGTGGGTCATGTCAAACCATACAGGAAAAAAAGAAATACTTTGATTGAGGACATTTATGTTGTACAAGACATCTTTGTGACTAAGAGCAAGTTTTTTTACAATCCTGTTAACTCTGTTAATGTGAAAGTGAGGAATCAGACTGGTAAAGAAAACCTATGATGTAGTACAAACAAGGTTTCAGTACCCCTTGTTTAGTCTACAGCATAGCATAGGGGATGTTAAACACTGTATATCAAGCTTACTAACCCGTAACCTAAGTTTATTTCTTTCAAGTTCTTTTGTTATTGAGGAAGAGAGTTTTGGTTTTATAGATATTAGCATGTTATGGTTTATTCTGTTAACCTAGATATTTATAGAATCGGTTTATTTAGTCCAGACTCTAGTATTTGTTTTCTTGTTTCTGACTAATTGTTGCCATAGATGACAGAAATACCTGTAGTTCATGTAATTGTAGGTAGATAAAGACTAGTATTGTTGCTGATATTCTAAACTACTGTCTAACATTTTGTAGCTATAGTTATAGAAGCTTATATTTACTCTTGTAGTACATAGATCTATATGAGTGCCTGTTGTCAGTTTTGATTACTGGTATGTTACCATGCATCCCTTCAAGTCGTTTTTATTTGTTGGAAATAAATTTTCGTTTTGAATTTTTGGTATGCATGTGTTCATAACTCTGGTCTGGTTGCAAAATATGTGTAAAATAATGAAACGCCATGATTCAATAAGATTTTTTAAAACGTGAATATATGAATATACATAAACTACAGAACCGCTAAATGAGAAACTTCAGATTCATGGTCTAGTCAAATAGAATAAAAGCCCAGAAAAAAAGATTCGCCCCTTTGGCTTGAGCGCCGCCTAGCGGTAGCTGTAATAATTGCTCCAATATTGCAAGGCTTGCGCGGAGTTGAAGGCTGACATCCCCTGGACTTATCAAGTAGCCTGGGTGCCATCCTAGTTGTATGCCTGGGCTCCCATACTGCCCCCTAAGAAATATTTCTTATGGGGGAGTATGGGAGCCCATGCATCATATAGGATGGTACACAGGCTACTTATCAAGCTCCTGTCATTCAAAGTTGTTTCAAATTTTAATAATCTGAAATTGAGCATGGAGACCTAATCTTCATAGCTTTACAGTCTTCTTTGGCTCCAATCTTGTCGAAAGAAATTTGTTGACCAAGTTTCGCAAGCTGCCACTAGAGTTCGAACTCCGCGGACCAAAGTGTAACAAGAAACCGCCTCCGCCGACCTAGGAATCCTATCTCCGCGGAGCTGATTCCGCGAACCCCCGTGTCTCCGTCCACCAGCCGTGTCGTGGTGTGGAAGAAAGTATCCAGGGCTTCTCGCAAACGTCGTCTTTCTACGAGCCTTTTTCGGTTCAGATCGTCGGGATTTCGTCTTACATACAACTCAGGTACGTACCAAGAGCTTGTCTACTCTACAGTTATCGATGTGACAGGAGAATAACACGTACAAGTTTGTTTTACGCTGTCTAAGTCTGTCACTATAGCCGCTAGCGACGTGTGTGCCGCTTGTGAGAAGTTATATGGTCTTCTATACAGCTCGAAAAGCAACGGTTTCTTGTTTGTAAACAGGTTTCTGTCAGAAACAACAGAGTTCAAATAGAGCAGCACACACACGCAAGCTTTCTTTGGATTTGTTGTACATGTATCCTTGTAGGAGTAAAATGGCGTAGATCGTTTCCAAATTTGTCTGAGAAAAAGTTGTTGACACCTCAGCGAAGGTCTAGAAGGGGTTATGCGGTCTCCTTAAATATTGGAAATCAAACACGACAACAAGAGTGCTTGCTTATTGTACAAATATAATACAAATGCCTTTCTATAATCCACAGTTGATTTTGCAGACAAAGGGTAATTTTGGGGTTGAAATTTGGAAGTTCTTTGTGCCTCGTAACGATCTTCCCGCCCAGACATCTGGTTTCTATCACGGAGGAAAGGTCTGGAGTGAGGGGAGGTTCATTAACTCTCGTACATGTTGCGTTATTGATTGAAGGGGAATTAGGGATGATACATTAACTATATAGAAGGAAGCTTTGTCGACTGAGGGGATATTTGAGGGTAATGCATGCTTTCTGATCACATCTTTTTGTTTTCCGTTTTCCACAGGATTCCATTGTCCAGTAGTGCTGAAGGGAAAACAGGATTCCATAGTCCAGTAGTGCTGAAAGGAAAAACAGAATTCCATAGTCCAGTAGTGCTGAAAGTAGTGCTGAAAAGGAAACAGTGAGGCTTCACCTGTGTTCTTCCAGACATCAGTGCTCTTTGTATAAGATATTTTGTAGGTAAGACATACTATTAACTTCTCCAAGAAAAAGTTGCATATTTTGTTGCATTTGTATGTGTGCGGTTTAGCAGCACGTCTCAAGAGGCTTTGGATTGATTGTCATGAAATTTGGTATAATCTTGTCCCACTGATGAAATGATTATGTTTTTAGCAATATGGCAGATTTCCTAGGAACTGCAGTAGAACTTCTGGTGTTTTTATGTTGTATTTGGGGAAAAGTTCTGGATAAGGAATGATGATAATTTTTGCAAAAGTGAAAGCTCTTCTTTTTGAGAAGTGTCATTAATTTCAACCCTACACAACAGGCCAATTTAAGTTTTGAAACAACAGATAAATGTTCAAACAAACTCATAGTGTCAAAATTATCCCAGCAACCAACAAGTTTCCAAGTTCCTTGCTTTTCTCGATACAAATTTGAAGACTACTTGATAGTTTCTTCGGTTTTAGTGTTTGCCTGATGAGATACGGAAAAACTGTGTTGAAATGAAATGTCATTTTCATACTCCAGGACCACAGAGGTGAATTCAGCTTTTGTTACCATGGCAACAAACAGCAATGGCTCTGATGGCATCAAAACAGGATCGGATGGGAGATCTGCCACAAAAACATACAGGTGTGAGGAGTGCAGCAAGCAGTTCAGTCATCTGGGTAATCTCAAGGCACACATGCGGACTCACACTGGGGAGAAATCCTACAAGTGTGAGGAGTGCAGCAGGCAGTTCAGTGATCTGCATAATCTGAAGAGACACATGAGGACTCACACAGGTGAGAAACCCTACAGGTGTGAGGAATGCAGCAGGCAGTTCGGTCAACTGTGTAATCTCAAGGCACACATGCGGACTCACACAGGGGAGAAACCTTACAAGTGTGAAGAATGCAGCAGGCAGTTCAGTGAGCTGGGTAGTCTAAAGACCCACATGCGGACTCACACAGGGGAGAAACCGCACAGATGTGAGGAGTGCAGCAAGCAGTTCAGAAAGCTGTGTAATCTCAAGACCCACATGCTGACTCACACAGGGGAGAAACCCTACAAGTGTGAAGACTGCAGCAGGCAGTTCAGTCTACTGGGTAATCTGAAGACTCACATGCGGACTCACACAGGGGAGAAACCCTACAGCTGTGAGGAGTGCAGCAAGCAGTTCAGTGCCTTGGGTAGTCTTAAGAAACACATGCGGACTCACACAGGAGAGAAACCCTACAGGTGTGAGGAGTGCAGCAGGCAGTTCAGTCGGCTGGGTCATCTGAAGTCTCATATGCTGACTCACACAGGTGAGAAACGCTTCAAGTGTGAGGAATGCAGCAGGCAGTTCAGTAGGCTGGATAGTCTCAAGACACACATGCGGACGCACACAGGTGAAAAACCCTACAGGTGTGAGGAGTGCAGCAGGCAGTTCCGTCACCAGTGTGACCTAAAGACCCACACGCGGACTCACACAGGTGAGAAACCCTACAGGTGTGAGGAGTGCAGCAAGCAGTTCAGGCTGCTGGATAGTCTGAAGAAACATATTCGGACTCACACAGGAGAGAAACCCTACAGGTGTGAGGAATGCAGCAGGCAGTTCAGTCAGCTTGGTAATTTCAAGGCACACATGCGGACTCACACTGGTGAGAAACCCTACAGTTGTGAGGAGTGCAGCAGGCAGTTTAGGCAATCGAGTAGTCTAAACTCTCACATGCAGACTCACATAGAAGAGAAACCCTACAGGTGTGAGGAATGCAGCAGGCAGTTCAGTCAGCTAGGTAACCTGAAGAGACACATGCGGACTCATACTGGTGAGAAACCCTATAGGTGTGAGGAGTGCAGCATGCGGTTCAGTCATCTGAGTAGTCTGAAGAAACACAGGCAGACTCACTTGTGAGAAACCCTACAGGTGTGACTGAGGAGTACAAAACCGCACAGTTTTGAGGATTGAGTTGTGAGCCTGGACCTATGAAATATCCAGTTTTCAAAGTCTGACAGGGAAGAAACTCCAACAGTGTGAGGAGTTCAGCAAACTGTTGGATTGTAAATAAACTTTCTCTTAGTCACAAAGATGTACAACATGAATGTCCTCAATCCAAGTAATTCTTTTTTTTCCTGTCTGGTTTCACGTGACCCATCGTCTTTAGGTCATTATTAGAGTTTGCATGTGTCGCTTACAATGTATGGCCCAGGTGACTGAACAGTTTGCTGAACTCCTCACACTGTTGGAGTTTCTTCCTTGTCAGACTTTTATCCTGTTAACTCTCTTTAATGCGAAAGTGAGGAATCAGACTGTACTGGTAAAGAAAACCTATGATGTACTACTAACAATGTTTCAGTACCCCAAGGCTATAGCATAGCATAGGGGATGTTAAACATTGTATATCAAGCTAACTAACCCGTAACCTAAGTTTATTTCTTTCAAGTTCTTTTGTTATAGAGGAAGAGAGTTTTGGTTTTATAGATATTAGCATGTTATGGTTTATTCTTTTAACCTAGATATTTATAGAATCAGTTTATTTAATCCAGACTCTAGTATTTGTTTTCTTGTTTCTGACTAATTGTTGCCATAGATGACAGAATAACCAGTAGTTCATGTAATTGTAGTTAGATGAAGACTAGTGTTGTTACTGATATTGTAAACTACTGTATAACATTTTGAAGCTATAGTTATAGAAGCTAATATTCAATCTTAAAGTACATAATCTATATGCGAGGTGAGTGCCTGTTGTTAGTTTGTTACCAGTATGGTACGATCCATTGGTTTAAGTCGATTTCATTTGTTTTAAATAAATGTTCTTTTTGAATTTTAGATATGAGTTTGTTTATAACACTGGTCTGGTTGCAGATGTGAGGAATATGTGCAAACTGTTGCAACACCATGATTTATAAATCATATGCAAAATTTTCATCCAATAATGTAGATCTCTGTCTTAGCTACCCACATACCAAAAATCATAAAAATACATTGTTCCTTTGTGAATTTATCTGCTCTGAAAGGTTTCGCCAGAAACCCCACTGCAATTCCAGAACAAGCTGCTAGGGGGACCAAACCCACACCACTTATTACTGGTAGGAATTACCATTCAAAAATCAAGACCTTAGTACGTCCAGAACAAAAGATACAAAAACCGGAAGTTCTGCTGCGGTACCAAGATCAGCCACCAGGAGGCCCAAAATCGACCTTAACCTTTGGCTACCCAACACCTATCGACATACCAAATATTATTACAATCCATCCAAAGGTTCAAAAGCTATGCTAGCCGCAAATATCCGGAAACACAAACACACAGATAGACGCACACACAGGCACGCCAAAAACAATGCCTCCATTTTTCATGGAGGTAAAAACTGCCACAAGCATTCGAACTCCGCGGATAACGAGAACAATGCCGCTTGCCTCATTATGAATCCCATCTCCGCGGAGCTTATTCCGCTAGACCCCGTGTCTCCGTCCACCAGACGTGTCGTGGTGTAGAAGAAAGTATCGAGGGTTTCTCGTCGTCTTTCTACGAGCCTTTTTCGGTTCAGATCGTCGGGATTTCATCCTACATACAACTCAGGTACGTACCAAGAGCCTGTCTACTCTACAGTTGTCGATGTGACAGGAAAATAACACGTACAAGTTTGTTTTACGCTCTCTGAGTCTGAGTAAGTCTCTCACCAGCTAGCCGCTAGCGACGTGTGTGCCGCTTGTGAGAAGTTCTATACTGCTCGAAAAGCAACGGTTTCTTGTATGAAAACAAGTTTCTGTCAGCAGCAACCTAACAGGGTATTTAGAGCAGCACACGTACGCAAATTTATGTTGTTGTCTACAGGGTGTTCTAGGTGTAACAATTCATGTGTGAGAAAATGTTGTTGACACCTCAGCGAAGGTCTAGAAGGGGTTATCTTGACTCCTTAAAACTTAGAAATAAAACACAACAACAGAAGTACTTGCATATTTTACAAGTGGCAAAAATGCCGGTCTTGGAATCCACAGTTGATTTTGCAGACAAAGGGTGATTTTGGGGCTGAAATTTGGGAGTTCTTTTGAGATAGAATATTGTGTAAACCCCCAAATGTGCCTCGTAACGGTCTCCGCGCCCAGACATCAGGTTTCTATCACGGAGGAAAGGTCTGGAGTCCGGGGAGGTTCATTAACTCTCATACATGTCGCGTTATTGATTGAGGGCAGTTAGGGGTGATACATTAACTATTTAGAAGGAAGCTTTGTCGACTAAGGAGATCTTTGAAGGAAATGTAGGCTTTTTGATCACATCTTTTTGTTTTCCACTTTCCACAGGATTCCATTGTCCAGTACTGCTGAAAAGGATATCAGGGTTCCAAAGTCCAGTAGTGCTGAAAGGGAAAACAGGATTCCAAAGTCCAGTAGTGCTGAAAGGGAAAACAGGATTCCATAGTCCAGTAGTGCTGAAAGGGAAAACAGGATTCCAAGGTCCGGTAGTGCTGAAAGGAAAACAGGATTCCATAGTCCAGTAGTGCTGGAAAGGGAAACAGGATTCCATAGTCCAGTAGTGCTAAAAGGGAAATCAGGATTCCATAGTCCAGTAGTGCTGAAAGGGAAACAGGATTCCATAGTCCAGTAGTGCTGAAAGGGAAACAGGATTCCATAGTCCAGTAGTGCTGCCTGCCCTGCTGAAAGGAAAAACAGTGAGGCTTCACCTGTGTTCTCCCAGACATCAGTACTCTGGTGTAGCAGCTCAAGACTTGACTGTGTGAAAGATATATTGCAGGTAAGAACATATCATTAACATGTCAAGGAAAGTTATTTTTAGGTGCATTTGTATGTATGTGGTTAAGCAGCATATCCCAAGAGACTTGAAATTCGTCATGAAATTTGGTATAGTCTGATTCTTGTTCCAATATAGAAATAATTATGTTTTAGCACTCTTTAGCAGTTTTCCTAGATACTATAGAATCTATGGTGTTTCTATGTTCTGGACAAGCAATGATGATAATTTTTACATAAGTGATAGCTCTCCTGTTTGGAAAAATTGACTCAACTCGCCAATTTATGTTTTGCATCATTAGATAAAGGTTCAAACAAACAGCACCAAAATTATCACAGCAAGCACCAAATTTCCAAAGAAATTCTTGCTTTTTGTTTCTTTTAGATTGAGTAATTATATGATCAGCATGATACATGTCCTGAGCAGACAGGAACTGTGTTGAAATTAAATGTTGTTCATCTTCACACTCAGGACTACAGAGGTGAATTCAGCTTTTGTTACCATGGCAACAAACAGCGGTGGCTCTGATGGCATCAAAAGAGGATCGGATGGGAGATCTGCCACAAGAACGTACAGATGTGAGGAGTGCAGCAAGCAGTTTAGAGAGCTGGGTAATCTGAAGAAACACATGTGGACTCACACAGGAGAGAAACCCCACAGGTGTGAGGAGTGCAGCAGGCAGTTCAGTGATCTGCATAATCTGAAGACTCACATGCGAACTCACACAGGAGAGAAACCCTACAGGTGTGAGGAGTGCAGCAGGCAGTTCACTCAACTGGGTAATCTGAAGAAACACATGCAGACTCATACAGGAGAGAGGCCCTACAAGTGTAAAGAGTGTGACAGGCAGTTCAGTCAGCTGAGTCATCTGAAGACGCACATGCGGGCTCACACAGGTGAGAAACCCTACGGGTGTGAGGAGTGCAGCAGACAGTTTAGTAGGCTGGGTAGCCTGAAGAAACATATGCGGACACACACAGGTGAAAAACCCTACGGGTGTGAGGAGTGCAGCAGCCAGTTTAGTAGGCTGGGTAGCCTGAAGAAACATATGCAGACTCACACAGGTGAGAAACCCTATAGGTGTGAGGAGTGCAGCAAGCAGTTCAGTGAGCTGAGTAATCTGAAGAAACACATGCGGACTCACACAGGTGAGAAACCCTACAGGTGTGAGGAATGCAGCAGGCAGTTTAGTAGGCTGGGTAGCCTGAAGAAACATATGCAGACTCACACAGGTGAGAAACCCTACAGGTGTGAGGAATGCAGCAGGCAGTTTAGCAGGCTGGGTAGCCTGAAGAAACATATGCAGACTCACACAGGTGAGAAACCCTACAGGTGTGAGGAGTGCAGCAAGCAGTTCAGTGAGCTGAGTAATCTTAAGAAACACATGCGGACTCACACAGGTGAGAAACCCTACAGGTGTGAGGAGTGTAGCAGGCAGTTCAATCACTGGAGTGCTCTAAAGTGTCACATGCGGACTCACACAGGGGAGAAGCCATACAGGTGTGAGGAATGCAGCAGACAGTTTGGTCGGCTGGATAGTCTGAAGGCTCACATGCGGACTCACACAGGGGAGAAACCCTACAGGTGTGAGGAGTGCAGTAGACAGTTCAGTCAGCTGGGTAGTCTGAAGAGACACATGCAGACTCACCTGTGAGAAACCCTACAAGTGTGACTGAGGAGTACAAAACCTCACACTTTTGAGGATTGAGTTGTGAGCCTGGTCCTATGAAATACCCAGCTTGCATGGAAGAAACTCTAACAGTGTTAGGAGTTCAGCAAACTGTTCAGTCACCTGGGTCATTGCAATAGACACATGCAAACTCAAGGTGGGAGGTTTTGGAATAACTCAACTTGTGTGCAGACCTAGAGAAGGCTGATCTTGTGAAAAACCATACAGGAAAAAAAATAAAAGAAGTACTAGGATTGAGGACATAATTTAGAAATTTCCTGTTGTACATCTACAAGACACCATGCCTAAGACACCTTTGTGACTAAGAGCAAGTTTTTATTTACAATCCTGTTAACTTTCTTTATTTGGAGTGAGGAATCAAACTGACAAAGGAAAAGCCATGTATTATCTTCATGATGTACTACAAACAGTGACTTTAAAAATCTGTGTAAAGTTTGCTTTAGTGTCTTTCATAGAATGTTTTGTATATGTTCCTTGCATACATAGGACTGCACGTGGTACATCTGGTTTGTAGCATTCCATAGCATAGCATAACAATATTACTGATACAGGGGAGATAAGACACTGTATATCAAGCTAACTAACCTAAGTTACTAGTCATTTGTTTTAAGTTTTTTTTATAGCGGAAGAGAGATTTGTTTTTATAAGATTACCATCCACTATTAGTATGTTTTTTGCTTATAGTGTTAACCTAGATATTTAGGGTCAGATTATTTAATATAGTATTTGTTTTCTTGTTTTTATAGATGGATTACCATCCCATCCAAATTAGCATGGTATTGTTTATTCAGTTAACCTAGATATTTATAGAATCAGTCTTTAGTATCGTATTTCTTTTCTTGTTTCTGACTATAATGGTTTCCATAGATGACAGAATTAGTGCATGCAGTTACAATTGCATAGAGTTTTTTTGCTGATATTTTACTGTATTACATATTGTAGCAATAGAGCCAACAGGCACATGTTATATAGACTTTACATAGGGCCTAATATGTACCCTTATTAAAGTACATATATAATGCATTATGTTGTCTGTTTAACATGTGTTTGTTGCGAATAAATGTTCTTTATGAATTTTAGATATGCGTTTGTTTATAACACCGGTCCAGTTGCAGATGTGAAGAATATGTGTTGAAAAACCCTGATCTATAAATTCATAATCTTTGTTGAAATTTGAATATATATATAAAGGACAGAACAGCAAAATGAATAACTGGATATTCAGGGTCTAGTCAAATAGATTGACAGCCCAGCGTAAAAGAGATTCGCTCCGATGGCCCAATCGCCGCCTAGCGGTATCTGTAAAAATTGCCCCTATATATCGCAAGGCTTGCACAGAGTTGAAGGTTGACAACCCTTGGACTTATCAAGCTCCTGTCATTCAAAGTTGTTTCAAATTTTGATAATCTGAAATGGAGCATGGAGACATAATCTTCCTAGCTTTACTGTCTTCTTTGGCTCCAGTCTTGTCGAAAGAAATTTGTTGACCAAGTTTCGCAAGCTGCCACATGAATTCGAACTCCGCGGAGCATAGTGTAACAGGAAACCTCCTCCGACCGCTTTGCCTCATTAGGAATCCCATCTCCGCGGAGCTCATTCCGCTAACCCCCGTGTCTCTGTCCACCAGACGTGTTGTGTGGAATAAAGTATCGAGGGCTTCTCGTCGTCTTTCTACGAGCCTTTTTCGGTTCAGATCGTCGGGATTTCATCCTAGATACAACGCAGGTACGTACCAAGAGCTTGTCTACTCTACAGTTATCGATGTGATGGGAAAATAACACGTACAAGTTTGTTTTACGCTCTCTGAGTCTGTAACTAGCTAGCCGCTAGCGACGTGTGTGCCGCTTGTGAGTTCTATACTTCTCGAAAAGCAACGGTTTCTTGTTTGTAAACAATTTTCTGTCAGAAACAACTTTACAGTTTATATAGAGCAGCACACACACACACGAAAACTTTTATTGGTTTGTTGTGCCCTTGTAGGTGTAAAATGGCGTAACGTTATCCGTTTCCAAATTTGTCTGAGAAAAAGTTGTTTACACCTCGGCGAAGGTCTAGAAGGTGTTATGTGGTCTCCTTATAAATTGGCAATCAAACACGACAACAAGAGTGCTTGCTTATTGTACAAATATAATACAAACGCCTTTTTATAAACCACAGTTGATTTCGCATACAAAGGGTAATTTTGGGGTTGAAATTTGGGAGTTCTTTTGAGATACAATATTTTGGAAACCCCCAAATGTGCCTCATAAAGGTCTTCCCGCCCATACATCTGTCATGGAGGAAAGGTCTGGAGTCAGGGGAGGTTCATTAACTCTCGTACATGTTTCGTTATTGATTGAGGGGCAGTTCGGGGTGATCCACTTAAACTAGTTATAAGGAAGCTTTGTCGCAGGCTTTCTGATTACAAGTTTTTGATTTGCATTTTCCACAGGATTCCATAGTCCAGTAGTGCTGAAAGGGAAAACAGGATTCCTTAGTCCAGTAGTGCTGCCTGCCCTGCTGAAAGGGAAACAGGGAGGCTTCACCTGTGTTCTTCCAGACATCAGTACTCTGGTCTAGCAGTTCAAGACTTGACTGTGTAAAATATATATTGCAGGTAAGAACATTTCATGAACATTATGATGATAATTTTTGCATGATAAATCTTCTGTTTGGAAAAATCGACCCAACACGCCAATTTAAGTTTTGCATCAATAAATAAAGGTTCAAACAAATAGCGGCAAAATTATTACAGCAAGCACCAAAATTCCAAAGAAATTCTTGCTTCTTTTGTTTCTTTTAGATTGAATAATTATATGATCAGCATGATACATGTCCTGAGCAGACAGGAACTGTGTTGAATTTAAATGTTGTTCATATTCATACTCCAGGACTGCAAAGGTGAACTCGGTTTTTTTTGTTACCATGGCAACAAACAGCGGTGGCTCTGATGGCATCAAAAGAGGATCGGATGGGAGATCTGCCACAAAAATGTACAGGTGTGAGGAGTGCGGCAAGCAGTTCACTCAGCTGGGTAACCTCAAGGCACACATTCGAACTCACACAGGGGAGAAACCCTACAAGTGTGAGGAGTGCAGCAGGCAGTTCAGTGATCTGCGTAATCTGAAGAAACACATGCGGACTCACACAGGGGAGAAACCCTACAGGTGTGAGGAGTGCAGCAGGCAGTTCAAAGAGCTGGGTCATCTTAAAAAACATGTGCGGACACACACAGGGGAGAAACCTTACAGGTGTGAGGAGTGTAGCAAGCAGTTCAGTGAGCTTGGTAATCTGAAGCAACACATGCGAACTCACACAGGGGAGAAACCCTACAGGTGTGAGGAGTGCAGCAGGCAGTTCAGTCACTTGAGTCATCTTAAGGTACACATGCGGACTCACACAGGGGAGGAACCCTACAGGTGTGAGGAGTGCAGCAGGCAGTTCACTCAGCTGGGTAGTCTGAAGAAACACATGCAGACTCATACAGGTGAGAAACCCTACAGGTGTGAGGAGTGCAGCAGGCAGTTCAGTCAGCTGGGTAGTCTGAAGATTCACATGCGGACTCACACAGGTGAGAAACCCTACAGGTGTGAGGAGTGCAGCAGGCAGTTCAGTCGGCTGGGCTATCTAAAGGTCCATATGCGTACGCACACTGGTGAGAAACCCTACAGGTGTGACGAGTGTGGCAGGCAGTTTAGTCGGCTGGGTCATCTGAAGGAACACATGCGGACTCACACTGGGGAGAAACCCTACAAGTGTGTGGAGTGCAGCAAGCAGTTCAGTCAGTCGGGTCATCTGAAGAGACACAAGCAGACACACCTTTGAGAAACCCTATAGGTGTGACTGAGGAGTACAAAACCACAGTTTTGAGAATTGAGTTGTGGACCTTGTCCTATGAAATATCCAGTTTGCAAAGTCTGACAGGGAAGAAACTCTAACAGTCTGAGGAGTACAGCAAACTGTTCAGTCACCTGGGCCATTGCAAGAGACACATGTATTTCTCAAGGTGGGAGATTTTGGAATACCTCAACTTGTGTGCAGGCCATAATGACCTAAAGAAGGTGGGTCATGTGAAACCATACAGGAAAAAAGAAATACTTGGATTGAGGACATTCATGTTGTACAAGACACCTTTGTGACTAAGAGCAAGTTTTATTTACAATCCTGTTAAGTCTCTTTAATGTGAAAGTGAGGAATCAGACTGGTAAAGAAAACCTATGATGTAGTACAAACAACGTTTCAGTATCCCTTGTTAAGTCTACAGCATAGCATAGGGGATGTTAAACATTGTATATCAAGCTAACTACTAGTAACCCGTAACCTAAGTTTGTTTCTTTCAAGTTCTTTTGTTATAGATAGAGGAAGAGAGTTTTGGTTTTATAGATATTAGCATGTTATGGTTTATTCTGTTAAACTAAATATTTGATTTATTTATAGATTCTTTTAGTATAGTATTTGTTTTCTTGTTTCTGACTAATTGTTGCCATAGATGACAGAATAACCTGTAGTTCATGTTCATGATATTCTAAACTACTGTATAACATTTTGTAGCTATAGTTATAGAAGCTAATATTCTCTCTTATAAGTACATAGATCTATATGCGAAGAAAGTGCTAGTTGTCAGTTTTGGTTACTGGTATGTTACCACCATGTATTCCTTCAAGTCGTTTTCATTTCTTGGAAATAAATTTTCGTTTTGAATTCTTGGTATGCATGTGTTCATAACTCTGGTCTGGTTGCAGAATATGTGTAAAATATTGAAAAGCCACGATTCATAATCTTTGTTAAAACGTGAATATATGACTATACACAAACTACGTATACAGAACCGCTAAATGAGTAATCCACGGTGAAGAATAAGGGTCTAGTCAAATAGAATGAGAGCTGAACTATCCGCACCGTTGGCCCCAGCGCCGCCTAGCGGTAGCTGTGATAATTGCTCCAATATTGCAAGACTGGTGCAGAGTTGAAGGTTGACACCCCTTGGACTTATCAAGCTCCTGTCATTCAAAATTGTTTCAAATTTTGATAGTCTTAAAAAATGGAGCATGGAGACATAATCTTCCTAGCTTTACAGTCTTGTTTGGCTCCAGTCTTGTCGAAAGAAATTTGTTGACCAAGTTTCGCAAGCTGCCACAAGAAGTCGCACTCCGCGGAGGAAAGTGTAACAAGAAACCGCCTCCGCCGCCTCATTATGAATCCCACCTCCGCGGAGCTCATTCTGCTAACCCCCGTGTCTCCGTCCACCAGACGTGTCGTGGTGTGGAAGAAAGTATCGAGGGTTTCTCGTTGCCTTTCTACGAGCCTTTTTCGGTTCAGATCGTCTGGATTTCGTCCTAGATACAACTCAGGTACGTACCAAGAGCTTGTCTACTCTACAGTTATCGATGTGACGGGAGAATAACACGTACAAGTTTGTTTTACGCTGAGTCTGTCACTAGCTAGACGCTAGCGACGTGTGTGTCGCTTGTGAGAAGTTCCAGGGGTCGAAATAGATTTTGGGGCCAACTTGCACTGGTGCAGATGAAAAAAAAAATAGTTGCACCAGAAGAAAAATAGTTGCACCCCCCAAAAATAATAGTACATGTAGTAACTTTAATAGCATCCAATATTATGACTATCGGTACCGAAAAATATGGGAAAATATTGTTGCAAAATGAGAGAGACGGAAACTACATGTAAGCTAAATTTCTTTTATTTTAAGGCTGGATTTTCATTTTCTTGGCAGGCTCCTTGTTCCCTTTCCAGTTCTTTTTAATATTGGACATTTCTACATGCAAACGGATAATGCAAACTTGCACCGCCGTGCATATCGGCGAAAAAATAGTTGCACGACACCAAATTTACTTGCACTAAGTTGCACACAGAGGGTTATTTCGACCCCTGAGTTCTATACAGCTCGAAAAGCAACGGTTTCTTGTTTGTAAACAAGTTTCTGTCAGAAACAACAGAGTTTATATAGAGCAGCACACGCACGCAAACTTTCTTTGGTTTTGTTGTGCCCTTGCAGGTGTAAAAATGGCGTAGATCGTTTCCAAATTTGTCTGAGAAAAAGTTGTTGACACTTTAGCGAAGGTCTAGAAAGGGTTATGCGGTCTCCTTAAATATTGGAAATCAAACAGGACTGTTTGTGCTTGCTTATTGTACTAATATAATATAAACCTATTTCTATACTCCATATGATAGTTGATTTTGCAAACAAAGTGTAATTTTTGGGTTGAAATTTGGAAGTTCTTTTGAAATAGAATATTCAGTAAACCCCTAAATGTGCCTCGAACGGTCTTCCCACCCAGACATCTGGTTTCTATCATGGAGGAAAGGTCTGGAGTTAGGGGAGGTTCATTAACTCTCATACAAGTTGCGTTATTGATTGAGTGGGAGTTAGGGGTGATACATTAACTATTTAGAAGTAAGGTTTGTCGACTGAGGGGATATTTGAAGGAAATGCTGGCTTCTGATTGCACCTTTTTGTTTTCCACAGGATTCCGTAGTCCAGTAGTGCTGAAAAAAGGGAAAACAGGATTCCAAAGTCCAGTAGTGCTGAAAGGGAAAACAGGATTCCATAGTCCAGTAGTGCTGAAGGGAAAACAGGATTCCATAGTCCAGTAGTGCTGAAAGGGAAACAGGATTCCATAGTCCAGTAGTGCTGAAAGGAAAACAGGATTCCATAGTCCAGTAGTGCTGAAAGGAAAACAGGATTCCATAGTCCAGTAGTGCTGAAAGGGAAGACAGTGAGGCTTCGCCTGTATTCTTCCAGACATCAGTACTCTGGTGTAGCAGCTCAAGACCTGACTGTGTAAACTCGGATTTTTTTTGTTACCATGGCAACAAACAGCTGTGGCTCTGATTGCATCAAAATTGGATCGGATGGGAGATCTGCCACAAAAACGTACAGGTGTGAGGAGTGCAGCAAGCAGTTCAGTCAGCTGGGTCATCTGGAAAATCACATGCGGACTCATACAGGTGAGAAGCCGTACAGGTCGTGAGGAGTGCAGCAGGCAGTTCAGTCAGCTGGGTAATCTCAAGGCACACATGCGGACTCACACAGGTGAGAAGCCCTACAGGTGTGAGGAGTGCAGCTGGCAGTTCTGTCAGCTGGCTCATCTGAAGTCTCACATGCGAACTCATACAGGGGAGAAACCCTACAAGTGTGAGGAATGCAGTAGACAGTTCAGTCAGCTGCGTGATCTAAAGACACACATGCGGACTCATACTGGGGAGAAACCCTACAGGTGTGATGAGTGTGGCAGGCAGTTCAGTCAGCTGGGTAGTCTTAAAACTCACATACAGACTCACACAGGTGAGAAACCCTACAGGTGTGAGGAGTGTAGCAGGCAGTTCAGTGATCTGGGTAATCTGAAGAGACACATGCGGACTCAACACAGGTGAGAAACCTTACAGGTGTGAGGAGTGTGGCAGGCAGTTCAGTCAGCTGAGTAATCTGAAGACTCACATGCGGACTCACACGGGAGAAACCCTACAGGCGTGAGAAGTGCAGCAGGCAGTTCAGTCAGCAAGGTAGTCTGAAGAAACACATGCGGACTCACTTGTGAGAAACCCTACAAGTGTGACTGAGGAGTACAAAACCTCAGTTTTGAGGATTGAGTTGTGAGCCTGGTCCTATGAAATACCCAGCTTGCAAAGTCTGACAGGGAAGAAACTCCAACAGTGTCAGGAGTTCAGTAGACTGTTCAGTCACCTGGATCCTTACAAGAGACACATGCAAACTCTTAAGTGGGAGATGTTGGAATAACTCAACTTGTGTGCAGACCTAGAGGCTGATCATGTGAAAAACCATACAGGAAAAAAGTCAAAAGAATACTCAGTCAGATTGAGGACATTTCGTGTTGTACAAGACTAAGATCAAGTTTTTATTTCCAACCTGTTAACTATTTTTATTGAGAGAGTGAGACATCCAATTGGCAAAGGAAAATATATGTATTATCTTCATGATGTACTACAAACAGTGACTTTAAAACTTTGTGTAAAGTTGCTTTAGTGTTTTTCATAGAATGTTTTGTTCCTTGGCAACATAGGACTGCATGTGGTACATCTGGTTTGTACTAAATTGTAGCATTCCATAGCATAGCATAACAATATTACTGATACAGTGGATGCAAAATACTGTATATCAACCTAACTAACCTAAGTTACTAGTAATTTGTTTTAATTGTTTTTTATATAGCGGAAGAGTGATTTGTTTTTATAGGATTACCATCCACTATTATTAGTATGTTGTTGTTTATACTGTTAACCTAGATATTTAGGGTCAGATTATTTAATATAGTATTTGTTTTCTTGTTTTTATAGATGGATTACCATCCCATCCAATATTAGCATGTTATTGTTTATTCTGTTAACCTAGATATTTATAGAATCAGTCTATTTAGTATCGTATTTCTTTTCTTTTTTTTCTGACTATAAATGGTTGCGATAAATGATAGAATTAGTTAATGAAGTTATAATTGCATAGAGATTCGAGTTTTTTTGCTAATATTCTACTGTATTACATTATGTAGCAATAGAGCTAAAAAGACACATGTAATAGCCTCTATATAGGACCTAATATTTACTCTTATTAAAGTACATGTATAATGCATTATGTTGTGTGTATAACATGCGTTTGGTACAAATAAATGTTCTTTTTGAATTTTAGATATGCAGTCTATCAGTCTGGTCCAG